TCCACCCCCCCCCGGGGAGCGGGGGGCAGCGTCTCTCCCCATGGGGGCCCAGGGCAGACTGCGGTAAGCGGGGACAGGCACTCCGGGCATGACACATATTCCCTCTATTTTAATCCGTCCTGTGTGGACTAAACGTTGTGATGTGTGCCAAGGTGGACGTGCACCAATAGAGACAAAGGCTCCCGGCTGTGGGTGCTCTGCAAATCAGCCCCCGGGGAGCGGGGGGCAGCGTCTCTCCCCATGGGGGCCCAGGGCAGACTGCGGTAAGCGGGGACAGGCACTCCGGGCATGACACATATTCCCTCTATTTTAATCCGTCCTGTGTGGACTAAACGTTGTGATGTGTGCCAAGGTGGACGTGCACCAATAGAGACAAAGGCTCCCGGCTGTGGGTGCTCTGCAAATCAGCTGGGCAGCACCTGAATCTCTCCTGGGTAGCTGCCCAAGCCCCCAGCTTACAGGGAACACTGCTCATGGCCAGTGAGAGCAGCACTGGATAAGGAACTCCTGGACACCACCCTCTAGTGTGTGGAGATGGTTGCTGGCAGCCCCGGGCACGTCACTGGTCAGGAAATGAACCGGGATTTTACATCCCTACCCCCTAGCGCCCTGCCTGGCCAGCAGAGTTTACCTGCGTTTGCTTTTCCCTCCTCCTCGCTGGAGCTCTCCGAGCTACTCTGGCTGCTACCAGCTGGCTTGGCCTTTGGCTTCTTTGTGGCTGGCGATTTGGCTGCAGGTGTAGATGAAGCCTTGGGTTTCTCTTTTACCAAGCCGGAGTTGTTCTGAGCCCCCTTCCCTGGTTTCAGCCCAGCGCCCGGCGTCCTTGCCGTTCTGGGCTTCTCCTCCTCATCACTGGAGCTGTCAGAGGAGCTGCTGCTAGTAGCAGCAGCCCCCCTTTTTCCTTCCGGCTCTGCTCCTCCTCACTGCTTGAGCTGTCAGAATCTGAGCTGCTGGCTTTGGGGCCCGGGGTGCAGGGTTTGGACGCTGGCTTAGCTAGCTTGCTGGCTGGCTTAGCTGGAGGGGCTCTCTCCTCCTCCGAGCTGCTGTCGGAGTCCGAACTGCTCTGGGCTTTCTTTGTCACAGCAGGCGGCTTCTTGGTGGCAGGCGGAGCTGGTTTGACTGCAGGCTTTGCAGGGGTCTCATCCTCGGAGCTGTCGGAATCTGGGAAGGAAGTTTCCAACAGATTCCAGTGAGGCCACCCATGCACCCAAGAGACGTGTTCAACCAGACCAAACTGGACAAGCAGGAGCAGCGACTGGAGTCCCTTCCATGCTAGTATCTAGGCAAGCCCCGCTCG